GCTGGCTGAGGAATTCTGGGAGTTGAAGTCCACAAGTCTTAAAGTTGCCAAGGTTGGACACCCCTGATCTAGGCCTTTGGCAAGAGTGATTAAAAGCCCCATTAGGCAGTGTGGGCTTGTTTTTCTTCCTGTCTCGTTTGTTCTCTTTTATTCCTTCTTGTTTATTTCCCATATTGTTTTATTAATGATGATTATTTGTGAACCAATTATACTTGTTGGGAGGTACATAGATTTCATTAATAATAATTTGGCTTCAAAATTAAGCTGCAGATGGAAAGCTATATGCTGTTGGGGGGGGACCAAGCAGACTGGAAGTGAAACATTTTCATATCTTTCTGAACCTTTTTTTCCCCCCACCGGCTGCATTTAAAAAAAATATGCTGCTCATAACTATCTACAAAGACTCACCTACTCAGCCAGGAAACCAGAGGCATCAAGATGGCTATCTGTAGTTACTCAATTATAGAAATGCATTATACACGTCTGGTTTTTATGTATTCCTAGATTAAATTCTGTCATTGAAGGTTTCAGCCCTGGGACAAATGAGGCAATAATCTTTTCCATGCAATCTGACAGCATTCTTTTCTTTGACAGCTTGAAGTATCTGGAGAAAGAAGTCTACACCAATGCACCTACAGCCCACTATTATTTACAATTTAATACTAGCAGCCGTTGATGGGAGATGCAGCTGGCAACAGTTTTGGTACGCAAAATAAAGTTGATTTTCTTATGGAAAAAGGACATCTCCAGTAGCTGTAGAAGAGATACCAGCCTGGGCCTCAAATGTAGCCTGAGCCTGTTTCAATGTGATTATGCAGAGCTTGGCAATTTGGGGAGGGGTACTTTCAAGATCAGATGTTTGGTATATGAAACATTACACAAAACCTCCATATTCAAAGAATCAAAACGTCAAATATTTATTGCCTGATGATTTTATTCATAATAGTTTGCTTGTTATCTCCTTAACAAGAGCCACCATATGATCAAACCCCACAGGGTTCACTTCTTGACCTCACATGGGGAAATCCCAGGTCAAGTTTACATTTATCTGCATTGGCAACAAGCCAAAATGACAGGTGTGTGGTGACAATATTATCCAGCAAATGCTGCAATTGTAAACTTACATGTAGGATACAAGTTGTAGCGCTTGTATTATGAGGCATATTTTATCCAGTTTGTGCTTATAGTATAGGTGGTCCTTGTTAAGCGACCAAAGTTGAAACTGGCAGCTCTGTCCTTAAGCAAAGCAGTCCCTAAGTGGAAAATCATATGTGGAAAATTGTGCATTCCCTTTTCAGCTCTGGCCCCTTTGCCTACCTACATAGCCAATTTGGAACTAACAAGACCAATCGGTTTCATAATTTGCCTTCTAGCCATTCCTCCATCCTTTGGAATGCTCATCCCAGTGCTGAGATAATTAGCAAGAATGGAATTAATCTGGAGAGAAAGAGTTTACAAGAGAGTAAGCAGGCACAAAATAGGGACTACACATTGAATAGAGTGCAGTGGCGCTGGCAGCCATAAATACACTATGCACACCACCTGGTGTATTCACTGTGATGTATGGTTACTCTCTTGTAATCCCTTCCACTCCAACCTCTCCACTCTGCAATGGGGAGAGAAAAGCCAGGCACAGGACAATGCTTAGTCAGTGTAATGGCAATCACATGACTGAGGGTTGTTACTGTACAAAGGTTATAAATTCAGGCATCAATTGTAGTTACTTTTTTCAGCACTATCATAACTGCAAACAGTCACTGAACAAGGCAGTCAGCAAGCAAGGACTATCAGTGTATGAACATAAGTTGATGACTGGAACCAAGCAAATCACTGTGCTCCAGAGAAGTCACCATTCGTTCTTTCCAAAGAGAAGAGCAATAAAAACCTTATGTGAAATCCCCAGATCAGATCTGAATTTTATTTCAAAAGAAAGATTTTGCTGAACTAGGATTGGAATTTTCCTGCCACTCGTGTTTTGGGACTTCCCTTCCAACAGCTGTTCCTCATCCTCTGTTCTCCACCCCCCCTCTTTCCAGGTTTCCTTTGCATTTGGTTATCTTGAGACATTTTATACTCACTCTTCTTTATGAGAGAAATGAATATTGCATGAGCAGAATCATAGTTGAGAAAAGTCATAAGACCAAAGAACGATGTATTGAAATAGTTCGATAAACCAGACATATATAGTATTTGTTACCATATATCTTTTAAATGGCATTTGGGAGAACACTTCAGAAACCCTGAAAAATTGGGGCAAAACTCTGTGCACTTTGAAAAGGATTCAAAAGAAGCATAATTAACCTGGCCCTTATCTTTCTCTTCATTAAAGCAACCTGACTGTTTTCAGGCCTCAGCACAAGCATGAAAAAGCAAATTTTCAGGCTGCTTTAATGAAGAGCAGAAAAGTATTGGGCTTGCACTAAGTCTAAAGTGTGTTTTCTAAATCACTTTCACAACATGTACAGCCCTGAAAGTTGCATTTATTAAACACTGCTTTAAATCTGATTTTTACAGAGTGTAGAAATAGCAATTTACATTATCTCTCATCTCATTCCCTGCTTTAAAATATATTAGAAAGTATGCCCGGAAAAAAAATACCGCACACGCACGCGCGCACACACACCAAGTGGGTTGCCAAATACAGACATGCAGTGACAGAAGAGCTAGACATCATTACCCTAACAGACTTACTCGTTGAAAGTTATGCAGTGATTTTTGCAATCAATAACTACAAACCATGGTTTACAACATAACTTTTTGTCGATATCTGGACATTTGTGGTTTGATAAACCATGATTAAATAAATCAGGATAATCATAATATGTGACCTTAGCCAGAAACAATTGAATCCGTTCTTCAGAATTAGACAGAAGTCTGTTAAAAAAGAAATTGGAGATGCATAAAAAATATAGTTTTCAGTATGGCTACTAGTAATGGGGGTATGTAGGTCAGGGGGAGCTTATGCTAGCAAATGAAAGAAAAGAACAATATCTGATCAGTGATTTATTGAAAGCCAGATGTTAATCATTTCTTTTGCCAACCCTGATTTCAATCCTGTGATTATGATCCAAGGAGAACCATCTTTTTTTTCTCCTGCAGACTTGGGCTCAGGGCTGCATTCGGATAGCCCCGTCAAGCCGAATTACTTCACCATTTAGCATAGGATTCTCCGCTATGCATTGTACCAGATGAGCATATTCGTCTGGAGCCCCAAGGCGATTTGGGAAAGGCACCTGTCGTGCCAGGAATGTCCGAACTTTTTCAGGAAGTGTCCCCAGTAGAGGTGTCTCAAAGAGCCCTGGAAGAAACAAAAACTGCTCAGGGCTGCTGCTCCTCCTGGTGCCACACACTGTCACCCTTATTAAGCAGTAGCCCATAATGTACTGGGTGCTCCAGGAGTTAAGCATGGAGTTCAGTTTCCTAATAATCTTGTGCCATGCACTGCTAAAATCTGAGATCTGATAAGGGATTGATGACTAGTCCTTTGAACTACTAAGCCAACAAAATAAAGTAAATTCGTGAAACATTCAAAATTGATTATGAAAATGTAAGTTTGCATAATATATTATGCAACTGTAAGGCTTCAGTTTTTGAGGAAGGCCAAGGTCATATGCAAATAGTCCTGCCATTTTAGGACTGAACACCTTTTAAAAGGTTGAATTTTCCCTCCTAGGGCTTAGATTCAGGGTGGTTTGGGTTACCTGGTGCAATGGTAACAACACGAATGCCAAGCGAGGCAAGATCTCGGGCGATGGGCAGGGTCATTGACACTATGCCTCCTTTGGAAGCTGAATAGGCAGCCTGTCCCACCTGCATAACGAAGAAAAAGGACTTAGTTGCCTCAAAATGACATAATAAAACATAATCACTTGCTAAGTAAATAAAGATAAGTCCTCAATTTATGGCCACATTTTGGTTTGGAACTTCTCTTGCTAAGTGATGTGATCATCAAGCATGGCATCACATGATCATGTTGCTTAACTACAGCCATTCTTGGTGCCCCTTCTGTCGTTATAATTCCAGATGTGTTGGGAGGTGGAGGGAGTTCCAGGTAAAGAGCATGGGGGTGCCACGGGAGTATGGGAAAAACCCTGGGATGCCCAGCACAAACCATGCAAGAGTTGGGGGGAGATTCTGCAGCGCGATACAAGCTCAGAGGCCAGGGAAAAGAGGATGCAGCATGCATGAATGCATGGGTGTGCACGTAGGGAATCTGGGAAAAGAATACACTGCCACTCCAAGACTTCTTGGCGTACACATCTCTGCGGATTCGAGAAACCCCTAAGATATAGGACATTGCAAAGCCCAGTCCCATCCTGGCTTAGCAGTGCAGCGACGTTTTTCGCATGCCATGGGTCATGCCAAAAAGAAAAAAAGAAACCCCTGAGCTGCAGCACAAAGCCCAGCCCAGGCCAGCCCAGTCCAGCAGGAAGGATATAAATGGGCTTCTTGCTGTCCTGGGAAGCTGCAGCTGGCCTAGCTCAGTCGCCTTTTCCATTCTGCACTCTATCACCCCTAGCTAACTTTCACCATCTCTTCTTACGCCGACTGCTGGCATGCCTGACCTGGCCCTTTTCCAAGACAGCTGATGGCCATGTGAGGCTCTTCCCCAGATCTCGTTGGGAAACTGCCATGCGCATCCTGGGGAAGAATGTGGCCAGTAGCTGCCTTGTGAAGGGCCAGAGTGAGCTTTGTCAATAGTGGGAGAAAGAAGATGGCAAAAATCAATTAGGGCATTAAAGGCTAATTGTAAGTGCAGGCAATCTGCGAAACTCCTGAATTTTGGTAACGTGACTGCAGGGGCACTATGAACTGCTGTAATTTTGGGGACCAGCTATAAGTCCCTTTGTTCAGCCCCATCATAACTCTGAGCAATTGCTGAACAAATGGTCATAAGCAGAAGAAGTGTGTTTTGAAACACAGAAGGAAAGTTCTGATTGGAATGTCAAACAGCATTGTGATAAAGTTGCTGAGTTAAGGAGAGCCAAGGGAAAGGAAATGACAAGAAAGAAATAGAACTGGAAATAAAAGTGCTGGGGCCAGCTAACTTCAAACGTAGGTTTAATGCAGGTGAGCATTTAAAAATCACACATGAGGCATGACATGCTGAAACTCCACACCGAAGAGCATAAGCCATTTCATTCCTTCTCCCCTAGCCCAACTGTTCTATTTTCCTTCAGGTCTAGAAGGTCACTTAATCGAGTTAATGGTTAATTCCCATTACAAAAATGCAAAGTCTCTTGCTATATTGATATGATAACTGATTTTGCCCCCTCCCCAAAATCTGGTTTCTGAAGCAGCCATACTTTAATGCTCCTGTATTGTAAGAATATTGACGTGTTCAATATGCATTCTGTTCAAATTATAGATTCCTGGCCTTTGCCAATGAAGCTACTGCTGACTAAAGAAAGTTTAGCTTAGGCTTTACCTGGCCCTCATAGGCAGCCACGCTGGCAGTGTTGATAATCACTCCTCTCTCTCCATCTTTGTTTGGTTCGTTTTTACTCATCACACTTGCAATCAGACGAATCACATTGAATGTCCCAGCAATATTGACCTGAAAAACACAAATGAAATCCAAGAACTCAAAATCTTGATTATGCTTCCCTCACCAAAGCCAGTACTGCCAAGCAAGATCATTGCATCAGCACAACAGAAGAAGAAACTCATGGCCAAACAAATATGCCTTCGTTATGAATGGTCGTCTAACAGAAAATTCAATTCTGCCAATGTTTAGATAACTATTATGAAAGCATCTACATCCAATGGGGAATTTGCAGGTTTAGGAGAAGGCAAAATATTCTCAAGAAAAAAACCTGGATTAAAAACCCGGAGCTTAGAAAAACCATTAAAACCCCCAGGAAACTTGCTCAGCTAATAAGAAGTAGAGAGGAGCTAAGAACTGGGTGGTGAAAAGGCATAAAATAAACTATTCTGGAAAACAGCATATTAGTTGGCTTAAGTCCTGAAGAAGAGCCCTGCAAAAATTTTAATGCAATTTAACTGGTAAGTTATATTAAGTCCTTCCTTCCCCATTAGGTCTGGCAGGAGATACATGTTCTGAGTCTGTCTATTAAGGAGCACGATCTGGTAGGGCCCAGGAAGAGAGTTTATTCTGTTATGGTACCCATCCTTTAGAAGATCATCCTTCTCAGAGATCATACTGGTCCCAACCCTACTTGCCTATAGCAAGGCATGGTTTTTTTTCACTCAGCTTGAAAATCCCTATGTGTGGCAGAGGCCATGCAATGTTTGTATTGATTCTATTTTTACCTCAGCTGATGATTACGTCTGTGTTGTTTTTTATTGTTAAGGCAGCCATGTTAATTTAAAAATAATAAGTTGGAAGTATTTGGAATAAGATCAAATAACAACTGTATAATGAGTTAAAATGTCTCTCACAACGTACTCACATTGATGACTCTCTGGAAGTCCTCCAAACTATGAGAATGATCTTTATGCACATTGTATGTCTTAAATGCCACTGCAACCGCAGCACAGTTCACTCCCATATCTATACGTCCAAATTTCTCCTTTGCTGTGGCCAGTGCAGCCTTCACATCTAATTCTGATGTCACCTGAATAAAGACAGTTTTGAGAGAATGATACATTCTGTTACATTCTTTTTCCACATCCCTATACACACCTGAGGAGAAAGCCCCAGCTCCCCATCAAACAATATTTACATCAGCTGGAGTAAAGATGCATCTGTCTCCCAGCGACTTGGCTATGCTTTCACCATCAGACGTTGGCAGGTCCACAATCACAGCACTGCCTCCCTGTTGTATTAATCGTTCCACTGTGGCACGGCCCAGTCCAGAAGCCCCACCAGTCACAAAGCCAACCATGCTCTAGTGGGTAAAGAAAATAATAAGATTACTACCTCACATTGTTGTGGAGGAAATAGGAGAAGGAAAGTGTGTTGGATATATTTGCCACCGTGAGTTATTTGTAAAAATAAAAGGTGGGACACAAATAAAGTAGATTTGATAGGCAGTACGACTGGTAATGCAATACAAACAATCCCATCCTTCTCATAACTAGGTATGGGCCTCCAGACTTCCCTCAGAATAAAAGGAAGTCCAGTATTTCCCAAAGAAAATTTCTCTTTTTCTTCTATAGTTTCTTTGCTTCAGGGAAAAGCAAGAGCAGGCCTGAGGAGAGTGGGGTTCAGCCAGTACATTGTTCCGGGGCCCATGGAGCTCAAAGGGGGCCCATGAAGGTGGAAATTTTTTAAAATTTTTACAAAACCCAATTTTTAAAAAGAAAAACAGCAGACAGTGTGTCAACCTGGACGCTCCTGGGCAGAGGTGGGGGACGGTGGAGGTGGCTCGCAGCAAAACACTCCAAAGCTGGATCTAATCAACTAATCGGAGGGCAAATGGGAAGGAAGGAAGGTGTGTGATCGCCCCACCCTCCACCTCCTCTTCTCTCTTTCTCCCTTTCTCCCCAGTTCTTGAAGAATCAACCTTCACTTCTCATCCTGTCGAAATCCTTCATGCCAAAAGGAAGGAGGGGTCACTGTTAGCTTAGTCGGAGGATCTATGTGCGCCAGCCGTGCCAAAGGGTAACTGGCAAGAGGTGGCTTTAAAATGCAGGAGGATAAACAGGAGGAGGAGAGGGGGAGACAGCCGAGGGAATCATCATCACTTTTCTTTCATTCGTATAGACTAGAGTGAATCATTCTTCTCCCAGTTGGAAAAAAAACCATCTACTTGTGGGCTGCGCCGCCCCCAACCCCGCTTCCCTGTACTTTGTCCCCCGCCCCCCCCCCCCCCCGCATCCCAATCTGCTTTGCTGCCCTGGCATTCGCCCCCCCTTTTTTTAAACAAGCCTCTTACGTGATGTAGGTGCAGGGAGCAACACGAAATCTACAGGGTGGTGGGGAGGGGGAGGGGAGATGTTAACTTAATGTGTCTTGTTCCAGCACTTAATAATCTGGGGGGGGGGGGGGGGGGGGCTGAGCAAGAGTAATGAGTCTCAAGTCCTTCCTCCCCTCCTCTGCCCTGGATCTTTTTCTCCAGGCACCAATGGTAACAGAATTGCCTCATGTGGCCATTTGGGAAAACAGCTTTATCCTGGACAAGTTTAGTACAGAAAAGTGGTCACTTTGTAAAATGGTCAATGCCTGGAACTCACCACCTGACTCTGTTGTTACATCCTCAAACCTCTCAAACCTTAAACTGTCTACCGTGGACCTCCCTCCATTCCTAAGAGGTCTGTAAGGAAGTGTGCATAAGCGCACCAGTGTGCCTACCGTCCCTGTCCTACTGTTCCCATGTACCTGTTTATACTTATATGTTTATATGTAATGTTCATACTTATACTTGTTTTCTCATACATGCTTGACAAAGTAAACTAAATGAAATAAATAAATAGACAATTTCCCCATCAAAACTACCTGGCATCTGTCTGTATGAGACACAGAAACTAACTCCATAACTCCTTTTGGGGGGTGGGCTGTTTTTATTTGCATTTGTTCATCCAACAGTTAAAGGGCAGAGAAACTCACATAACCTTCAGAAAGGTATAAGAGGTGGTTTCTTCCATGTTTTACCAAATAAGTGTTCAGCTGGAAGAACACTTCTTGGCAGCGGCAGTATTTGATCCTATGGAGATTCTCAATCATCCAGGTACTGGTTGTCCCAAAGGTGCTTTTCCAATCCCAGAAGAGAAACGTTTTCAAGGAAAATACCAAAAAAGGCCACTTGTCTTTTGGAAAAGCACCTTTGGGACAATATTTGATCTGATTAATATTACCGTTGTGCTAGATTAGGAAAAATGCTTGAAATTACTCTACAGTTGAAAGTAATCTATGCCGCATGTATTGCATTTGCTTCGATTGTACTGCACTTCCTACTCTACATTATTTCTTAGGATAATTACATAGAAAACTCCGACTTCTAAAATAGAATGTATCCTTCAGGATCTCCTCTCCGCTCCCCGCGACGGGAAATTAATCCCTCTGGTCCCCTTCCCTACTCAATGATGGTGGGGGGTGGGTTCTCCCCCAATTTCTCCTACCCTACCTACCGCGAACAGAATTAGATCTCCCTCGGTATTAACATGGATCCTCGCCCCACCCCACCCCTTCCATGCCCGAATCCAGTCGCGGCGTCCCACATAGTATTGCCTATTTATTACCTTCAGGCTCCTCATTGCTGTCGCCATGCCGCTCCGCAAAGAGTCAACTTTAAAGTCCTACCTCCTAATGAGGCGGAAGCGGAAGAGGCGGTAAAATTTGGTTGATGGTAAGGTACCTTAGGTTTACGAAAGTCCTCACTTTGATTGGACTTGTACTAAGCCCTGCCCTTAGCCACAGAAACCCGTTTTTCTTTGGCTTTATCTCCAAATGTTGATGCCAGGTCAGGTCTCGATGAAGACCCTCTTAATTTGGCAAAAGGGCTGTTTTTACTCTGGTTCTGGACGTTAGGGCGCAATCTTACATAGACAGCATTAGGACGCTGTTCTTTTTTGCAAGAGTGCCTCTAAAGAGAGTTGCGACAGTATTCAGCTAAGCTCAATCGCTCCCTTGGAGTGTGTAAAATTACAGACGTTAAGAACTCTGAAAAAAACAGGTAGGTGGTTATGCTGATGATTGAAGTGGACCTATTCTGATACTATGCAAATCGAGAGCAGTTAGGTATTTGGCTGGGAAACTACAAAGCTAAACTACGGTTAAAAAGTCAAAAAAATACCCTATAAAAAGGTAGTAGCAATCTACTTGTATATTGGTGCTAAGAAAACCACATAGATGAGCCCCCAAAAGTAACCAAGAGCAGAACTTACATACAAGTTACTCTCCATTGAATCCAGGATTATGGATGTGTAAATATTTTCATTCAATTGTATTATTTTTCTCAGCAATATTAATGCTTAATAAGCTTGTGGCTAAAGTTAACATAGTAGAAGCCATGATTTTCTTTTAATATATTTAGGTGGTTCTATTGCTTGTCAAGAGAGCATAAATGTGTAACCCCATTTTACATTAGGTATCAGAGAGCAAAGATAACCTATAAATGTCAAACATGCTCTTAATAGCAAATTCAGATTTATGCAAGTATGTTCCCCATTCTGATATCTTCCAGCTATGTGAGGAAGTATGAGACATGAAATTTTGGAATTATGGGAATTCAGGAGTTGGGAAGGATGGTACCAGTATTAAAAGTTTTAAGAAAAATGTATGTAAAACTTTATAAAAATGTATGTAAAACTTTATAAAAATGTATATTGAGATATTTAATGTACTGTAAACCTAAATCAGATTTTTTTCAGTTTTGCTTCATGACTCCTTGTAAAATTAAGTATTTAGTAGCAATATTCACTCTCTAATTTGCTCAGTTGGAAAGAGGGCGATAGAAAACAACTAAGATTGGTTCTAGAAATCACTAGGTTTAGCGTTAAGATAAACATTTGGTTATCAATTTTACGATGATGATGTAAATTTACCACATTAAAAGAAAAAAATCCATGGTCAAAGTTACTAATATATACAATTAGTTATGCTGATGGCTATGAAAGAACATAAAAAAGCAGAAAATATGGAAATTCAAAAGTCTTGACTTTGGAAAATCAACATTTGCTCCTAAATGTTACTTATATGCAATATCTAGGAGACCATAAATAAAATCATTAGTTGGGGTCTACAAATTTCAATCTGGATCACAACAGAGAAAAGTATCCAATCCAGAGGAATAATGCACTATATCACTTAATAGCAACATAGAAGTTTTTCTTTCCAGTTTGCTTTAAGTTGTTGTTTGTGTGGACTGAATGTTTTGTATCATTTTATTATCCTACCCCATCAAACTCTCTAGCTTAACTGGAAGTAAAAACAGGTACATCAGTCACTGGCTATTAGCAACTGGCAAAATTTATAACTATAATCCAAATCATTCATGAAGTAGTGTGATAGCTGCAGCTTTCATTTACAATGAGTTTGATCTATGCAACAGATTTCAGGAAATATAAATGTACTGTATAAATGACAGCTGCTAAATGTAATTTTCTAGTCATGTATGCATCAAGTTGAAATGAACCATTATAGAGAACAGGACGTGCCAATAATAAATGCACTTAAGTATTCACTAGCCATGAAGCTCCAACACACACATGCTTAAAAACAAAACTCTGTATTCATAAATAATATTAACATAAATTACAAGATAACCTTTCAAATGGGAAAAGTGTATTTCAAGGTATCGAAAAGAGTAAATTTATTATTTTGCTTTGTAACCAATTTTTGAATTTTCAAGCAGTCAGATGTGTATGTATATATGTATGTATATGTATGTATGTATTTGTGTATATAATCCTCAGTTCCTCTACTTTATTTCCAAGGTGAATCATTTCAGAACACAGAAAAAGGACTGCATGTTTAAATGCTTCCCATTATCAACCTTCTCATATACTATGAGAAGTTGAAGTTACAATAGTTTATCCTAATGAGCCAGTCTCCACACCTATCTCCACACATCCAAAAATACACAAGCATATTTAGTTTGATGCTCAAGAATGATTGGATTATTCCCCCACCCCCACCCCTTAAAGATGCTAAATGCAATTTATTCCATAAAAAGGCCACACTGAACCATTTTTAAGTTATTAGGTCCGGACTTTTTACACAAAGAATGAATTTCTCTATTTCTTTTTTAAAAGTACTGTTCTAGAACTTACTAATATTTTTTTACCATCAAGTTTTCTGGTGTTCTGCGATTATAAGCATTTCCAATATAATGTTTAGATTTTTGAGTTCTTTAGTATTGAATTGTAGAAATGTATCAGCATGAAGTACCAACAGCTCAAAAGAAAAAATTCTATACAGTTAGACCTAGACTATGCTTAACTGCCTATTTAGCAATTGTACAAATTTACAACAGCACTGACAAAATAATTTTATGACCAGCCTGCAGTAATGTGAAAACTTGAATGTTGCACAACTGGGAAGGTATTTACAATTGTCAGTGTCCCACTGTCTTGTGATTGACATTTGTACGCTTTGCTACTAGCTTATAACAAGTAGTCAATGGAGAAACCAACAGCAAAATTGCAAGTTGCTGTGATGCAGCTACTTGTAAAACCCGCATTGATTTAACAACTGGATGGGAAGTGACATCATAATCCCTCATGGATATGTTTCATTTAGTGATGCAAAATATCATATTCACATTTTTTCTTTCATAACTCATATTCTTCATTATTTACTCCAATGCCAGTTCTCCTGAACAGAAACAAAACTCGGTTACACAGTAAAGCATATATAGTATAACTTGTCTGCATACCCTCACTTACATATGCATTATGAGCACAGAATATGAGGCTTTAGATGTCCAAAATAAAAGTCACACTACATATTGGAAAGCGCTGTGTACATTAAGTGCTTTTTTATAATAAAAAAAGTACAAAGTCCTGATACGAAATATACAAAAAAATCAGCCAAGGAAAATGGTTGCCTTTCTACAAATATCAGTAGCATTGCATAGAACAGCCTCTGTGGGGTATAGGGAATGGGCAAATCCAACCGGGTATGCTGCTTTAGGAACATTGCTAGGAAATTGTCTGCAGTTATACATAAAGTACACCAGAGCATAAAATCACATATACACACTGTTGCCAGAAACATCTTGCCATTGCTTTCGTGGACTGGAGCATTGGAGAAAGTATCAAACACAAGAATAAGCCATCATCACAGCCCTTTTCCTTGCATTAATAACCTCAAGGAAAATACTGTACAACCAGAGAGCTATTATTGCTTCAGCTAAGCCAATGGGTGCAAGGTTGCCATTTAGAACAACAGGAGCTATTACAAAGTGAGTTTGAATGGCAGAACCCTGCATTGGCAATGGATGAGTCCCAATTGATTAGGCCCTACCCTCCATGTGAGAAAAGCAAGGCTGGGATTATGTTTTGATGGCATGAGGCACTGGTCGGCCGCTAGCAGGCATACTAAAGCTAAAATATATACATGGGGAGTCCAATCCTTATAAGCAGAAGTTCAGGGAAGGTGCGAAAAGCCAGCAGCTTAATAATGCTGAATGGAAAAAGGAAACCCTGAGCTGTTTTAAAAAGGCCTCTGGGCAGACAAGACCCTGAGTAGCCACCAGGGGACAGGGCAAATAAGCGTACAGCCCCCACACAGGCAGGTAGGAGAAGATGCTAAGCATCAAACAATTAAGGAGGTGCTTGCACATAGTGCCCCCAAAAGGGCAGAGAGAGAAATGCAGTCAATACAATAAATAAAGATACAAAATAATCTCTGTGACCGCTGCTGATACCCCCCATTTTTGCCATGTCCAAGTGCAACTGGTCAGCATCAAAGTGCCACTGAGGTCCCCATAGGAAAGTCCAACCAAACACATTGTTCTTTTATAAGCTAATCTAGCCATCTTCTTCCACCTCGGAATCCTTCCCATCTGGCTCCTCTCGGGAGGACTTGGATCCAGCAATATCATCTTCTTGGCTACTTAATACTTCTTCCACTACTTCACCTGTGTTAGTAAATAAGATGTCAATATTTGAAGCAGCTGATGAAAAATACTCCCTCTTTGCCCATGTTTCCAGTATTTAATTGACTGAATCCCAAGACCTCCACTATAAGACATAATGATGTCAGGTGGAGATACATTGCTCTTCAGTAAGTTGATTCCAGTCAGTTGAGTGGGAGAAAATCTGGAAATCTCTCCTCTGTGAAACATCTTAGACTCTTCTCCCCACTTTCCTTTAATCTACATGAAACTGCTGGGACAGGTCATTTACTGAAAGGAGATTAGGCATCTGTTGTCTAGTTATATACAGATACTGTATCATCAAACAGATGATGCCATAGAAGTGCTGACTTGATGCTTAGATTTTCTCAAGGAAGGGATTCTGAATTCTTCATCTGAGTCTGTAGGCAAATAACTTCAGGACATTCTCATCTTTGGCTCTGAATTAAGACTATGCGTCCCTGCTCAGAGGTGGGGGGCAAATTGGTAGTCCTACTGAACTCAAAGCTTTTGCTCAAATAGCTGGTGACAACTCTGAAAGGAAAGGCTATTGCCCAATTAGGACAAATTAGGAATCTTTGCTCAGTCACCCATTGTCCAGTCACCTCTACTTTGGATTACTGTAGTGCATGCTACATGAGGCTGCTTTGAAAAGCATTCAAAAGCTATTGCTGCTGCAAAATGCAGCAACCTAGGCAGGCATTTATCATTATACCTCAGTGACCACACCTGCA